ATAATTAAGTGGTCTTTCTGTGATTTGTAAATGGTTACTGTTGTCTTCTTGAGCACTATGTATTGTTGCTCTTGTGCTAATTGTATCTTCGCCTAAGAAGTTTTCGTTTAATTGAATTCTGGACAGAGCATCTGCCACATAATTTTCTTTTCCTGGGACGTATTTAATTTGGAAATCAAACTCATTTAGCTTGATCTTCCACCTTTGTAATTTCATGTTAGGTTCTTTCATATTATTTAACCAGACGAGTGGTCTGTGATCACTAAGGATTTGAAATTGTCGACCAAAAAGATAGGACCTAAAGTATTTAGTGGCCCAAACGATTGCTAATAATTCTTTTTCAATCGTTGAATAATTTAACTCATGCTCGTTGAGAGTTCTACTTGCATAGCATATAGGCTTATGCTCTTGCGAAAGGACGGCCCCTATTGCCATATTACTTGCGTCTGTAGTTAATGAAAATGGTTTTTCGAAGTTAGGGTATATTAAAATTGGGTCGGATGTTATGAGTACTTTTAGCTTTTCAAACGCTAGTTCGTAGTCTCTGTCTTTTATATTGATTTTTGCTCCCTTTTTTAATTTAAGTGTTAATGGTTTTACTATATTAGCGAAATTTGGTATAAATTTCCTATAGAAACCACATAATCCTAGAAATGATTTAATTTCTTTTGGGGTTTTTGGAATTGGGAATTTGACAATTGCTTGTATCTTGTTGGGATTTGGTTTTATACCCTCAGTTGTGATGATGTGACCGAGAAATTCAGTTTCTTTTCTCATAAACTCGCATTTATCCAACTGTAGTTTTAAGTTAGCTTCTCTAAGCTTCTTAAATACCTTTTGTAGCGACAAAATGTGTTCCTCCAATGAAGTGGAAAAAATAATAATGTCGTCTAAGTAGACCAGACAATCTTTAAAAATTAAATCTTCTAAGAGATTGTTCATACAACGTTGGAACGTTGCAGGTGCATTCTTAAGACCAAATGGCATGCGAGTGTACTCGTAATGGCCATGTTTAGTCGAAAATGCGGTCTTGGGTATTGAACCAGGATCCATTTGGATTTGGTGGAAGCCTTTGGCTAGATCAATGGTTGTGAAATATTGACATTTTCCAAGTTTGTCTAATATTTCATCCATGATCGGGATAGGGTATTTATCATTAATAGTTAGTTCATTGAGATTGCGGTAATCTATGACTAACCGGAACTTTTGCTTTCCAGATGCATCGTTTTTCTTTGGAACGATTATTACTGGTGAGCAGTAAGGGGATTTGGATTTACGTATGATATTTTGTTTTATCATATCGCTTATTTGTTTATTTACTTCCTCATCGTATATTTGAGGATATTTGTATGGACGCTTGTAAATTGGGTCCTCATGTTTTGTTAGAATTTTGTGTTTAATTGTACTAGTGAAAGTCAAATTGTCACCTTCATGGTACTGGATATCACGAAATTCATGTAAAACTTTTTTTATTTTTTCTTTTTCTTCTGAGTTTAGGTGCTCTAGCCTAAACTCATTGTTTTCTATTAATTCATTATTAATAGCGAAGTTAAATGGTCTGTCCTCTGTTGAGGGTGGATCAAGGCACTCTTGTGCGGTCATGTCCTCTTCGACCTCTTCGTCGTTATATCTAAAACAAAAGTTAAATTCTCCTAAGGTTACGGATCCTTGTGCATAGTCTATTTTTGCTTGACATGCCTCAAGGTATTCTCTCCCAATCAGAACATCATAATGCTCTGAGAAGTCGTGAATATAGAATTTTTGTTTGCTCGGACAAATTTTGCTTGCTCCTAATCGTATACTTTGTTTTAATTCAATAACACCATTTATGGTGTGAACCTTTAATGTTTCGTTGTAAACTGGAAAATTTAAGCGGTTTGTTTTCATTAGATTTATGGTTGAACCTGTGTCGATGACACATTTTAGAACTTCGTCATTCATAATCAATTTTATGAATGGATTTCTTCTGTTTGTTCCGAGGCTTGCTGATGAAAATTTTCGGATGTATCCATTTTCATCTGCCCACTGTTACTATCTCTTTGACGTTTAGTCGGAGGGTTTGGTGCATTCAAGCGTGAATGGGACTGATTTTGGTAGTTTAAGGGATTTTGGTATCTACCTTGACTTAATTTCTGTTGGAACTCGTGGTGAGCTTTCTGATTGTCTTCGGACTTATTATGCTGTTTATTTTGTGCGTGATAACTCTGATTCGTGTTGGAATAGCCACTTGAAATGGTGGTTGGGTTAGCATTTTGCTGATAATTTCCCATGTTCCTACGATTGTTATTTGGATTTCCCTGAACATTATTATTTTTAGGTTTTTCAGTAACGCTATTTTCATATAATCCCTCTCTTTGAGCTACTTGCTTTAGTTTTTGTGTCGACGTAATGTCGTGTCTGGCTAACATCATGAAAAGCCTATCTGGTAATTTTTTTGTAATAACATCTTTGATTGTGTTATTCATAGCATTTGTATAAAGGGTTGTATTGCTAGGTATATTTTCTAGTGCTAACTTATTTAAAATAACAAAAGATTTATTCTCGAGCTCCTCGATGAACTTACGGACGTTTCCTTGGTAATTCGTGTTGTATAAGCGTCGAAGGAGTTCTTCAAATGGTGTCTGCACTTTGTATTCTTCAATCAATGCGTTTCTCAGCTCCTGCCAAGTGTTGGCTGCTGTCCTTTGTGATATTCTCTGAGCATCTCCTGTGACTTGCAATTCGATGGCTCCGTATAAGATGCTATGTTGTCTAACATCTCGGGTTGGATACAGGTGTAGGATGTAATCTATCCTTTTAATGAAGGCGTTTAGTTGATCCGTTGATCCGTCAAAGCTTGGCACCTGTCTAAGTTGTGAAAGGGCCTGGTTGAGGTGTTGTTCTGATAATTCCATTGTCATCTTGGTGTAATACACTTTTTTTTGAATAGTTTTGAGTTTGTAGGTTTGAACTTTATTGTTCTTTGATTTTGCACTTTTATTTTAAGTTAAAGTTTGTGATGGATTATTGTGCAAATGTTTTTTTTTTTTTTTTTGTGTGTGTGTCTTAAAAAGACTCAGTAATAACGTATTGCAGGGATCAAACGATATGCAAAGCCAGTCGTTATTAACTGTAGTAGCTTTATTGCCCAAAGGGTCAATATTATTAAGCTACTAATGACCCGAAGGTTCTTGTGCGGATACGTATTCGAGAAAATTTTTATTACACTCCGACAACACTTTCGGTCGCGATTGTGCGTTAGATCTGGGAATTAATTATCCTTTAGCGATCTTTAATTTTTCCCGACGTATCCTACCGGCTGCGCCAATTAAGTTTTACACGTTAGGTTACTATAAAAAAATATATTTCAATTTATTATTTTCACTTAACGGCTACTTTTGTTGAGTACATTCAGATTTGCTTCCCGAATAAGAACTGATTTATCTAACTGTTGCGGTCGCTTAGCAAACTTCGCTTTGAGAGAGTTTGAGTCAAAATTGAGTGAAGTTTGAGCTGCGTCAGCAATTATGCGTGGGATAGTACTCTGATGGGAACATTGACAGTGGCGTGATATTTAGGGTGAATTGTTTATGTCTACCAAAGGGGGACAGTTTGATCTTGACCAATGTCGATGTTATCACCAGGCTCTTTGTTTACAATATTAGAAATGTTTATAATTGTGCTTATGCTTATGTGCTAAGTTATGTTAAAGGGTGGGTGCGACTATGGATATGTCACTATATATACATATATATATATATAATGTATATGTTTATGTTAGTAATTTCGGTGCGCACCGAATTTTGTATGCTCTTTTCCGGCTAATCAGTTGACTTTGATTTATATGTATATGTTTATTGACAAGTTGTAGCTACGTTTAGTTGAGCCTATTGAGCTTCTACTTTTAGTCAACAGCAACAACAACAACAACAAAAATACAAAAAAAAAAACGGTGAGTAAACAAAATGTTAGCACATAAACTAGCTGGCAAAAACAACTGCAAGTTGGTCCGATTTTGAAAAGCAATCAGCAGTTGCTAGCCATAGATAAAATATATACTACATCTATATATTTATAATTAGATCAGACAAACAGATATTTATATTAAACAAGTGTCGATTGCTTAGCCTCTGCTGCTCTCTACTGCTGCTTAAACTATATAGGAAACTTTGACCTGGAAAAGAGCTGGATAGAAAACAAATAAATAATTATATATATATATATATGCAATATATATGTATGTATATATTATAAACAAATGCTCGCAATGACACTTAAATATTTACAGGCATTTTGCGTAGCGAAGCTTTCTTTTCTTTTCTTAAACTTTTCGTGTTTTGTTGTTGTTGTTTTTCTTGTTGACACGCTCAAGTACTTAATTGATTTTCATTTTGTATATATATTTAGTTTACGTTTTGCTTTGAATTTGTAATGCATTTTAGCTAGTTATACATATTAAAATAAAAAAAAAAAAATTTTTTTTTTTTTTGAAAAATATTCCATTTTGATTTTAGTTAAATTTGAGTTTTGTTATGATTTTATTTAAAGTGTTTTTGCTTTTGTATTTTTCTTGCATATATTATATAGACGACGAATTGAAAACGGCATGCGATCTTTAAGTTTGATTTTGTATTTGTTGTTTTTATTTATTTTTATTTTTATTTTATTTTTTAGGTTTTTTTTTTTTTTTTTATTTTGAAATATTTGTTTTGTTCATTTGAGTTTTGAAAAAGCGACGCGACGAGCAAAAAATTGTATGTTGCATAAAAATTTGTAGCAATTTGTTGCATTTAGTTTGGTGTATTTAGTTGGTTGGCCGAGGCCCCTAGATTATGTCTAAATACGCGTTTGTATATAGCATATGCAATATGTATATATAACTATGATATATGTATGTATATAGTGTACGCGTTAATGTATATAGGTATTACATTTATCCATATATATATATATATATATATATATATATATATATATATATATATATATATATATACATAAATGTATTTATGACTGTTTTGTTTTTGGCCTAAACACTAAAAAGGTAAAACTTAAACATACGATTGAGCGAACTTCTTTTATCTTTTCTCCTTTCTTATGCTTTTTGGACTTGATGTAAGATACTTGTTTCGATAACTACATATGATTTAATACGTATATGTATGTTGATGTATATGATGTAGTTGTTGTAGGTTACATATATGTTGTGCGTGTGTGTGTGTGTTTGTGTGTGTGTGTGTGTGTGTGGGTGTGTTGTCTATGCTATGTACAATTTGGGTGCAGAATATCACATAGTCAGACATATACGACTACAAGTTCTCTTTTCTTCCTATTTTTTTTTTTTTGTTTTGTTTTGTTTAGTTACTTTTCAGTTTTGTATTTTCTTTGCTTTTTAACCGCCTACACATGCAGCGTGGAGTTGTCCATGGAGAGCCGCGAGCGACGTCCGCTTAGCAGCGAGGCGGTGTCCGCATCCCCATCAGACGCCCGCTTGCGCTGTGGACGCAGAAACAGGAACATGACCAACAGTGCCAGGAAGAAAGCCAACGCACCAAATGCCGGATACACAACGCCGCTCAACTGACTGGCCGTGGGCAGCGCACTGATTATGTACACACGGTCCGTGGGTCGAGAACGCTGTAAAATTGTTGTTGGTATTGTTGTTGTTGTTGCTGCTGCGGCTGCGGCTGCTGTTGTTGTTGTAATTGTTGTAACTGGTGCTGTCACGGGCATAAGGGGCAACAAGCTTGGATTTGTCCAAGAATTGGCTGCCGCTGCCGCCGACAGCAGCTGATGTGTGTCCACATTGAGCTTCAGTGAGCGACGCATCAGGCCCGTTAGCTGCGAAACAGTATGGATGACAATTTGGACGCGGTCAAAGCGTTAGCTGGACTGGCTTACCTTATGCTTACAGGTCACCTGTATGTTGTAGACCGTATCCGGCCAGAGTGATAGTTCGGCGCGTGCAGTGTCTGTTAGCAGGTTGCCCATGAGGCCGCCGCCGGATACCTCCCAGGTGATCAGGCATTGACGGGATGCGTTCGCAATCAACTCGTCCCAACCGATGTCGGTCAGCACCAGAGCACCCTGACGCTGGGCGTGGTGTACGCGCAGCTCAAAGGGCGCCAATTGCCTTTGGCAGTTTTGCCAGCACTATCGTTGGTAAGCACGGATTAAGATAGGATAGTTAGCATTTGGAACAGGGCATTCGGATAGCATCATTAAATACATACTATAGGGCATATAACCGCTTTATGCGCTAAGAGTCACAAATGCGGCGCTCGCAAATTGGCAACGCAATTTCGTCAGCCGCCCGCAGCTATCAACAGCGAAAACATTTAACCCATTAATGTGTTCACGTTTTCGTCCATTCTCAAAAGTGATTCCATCCGAAAGACAACATTTTCAGCATGTTTCATTTGAAAACTAATTTTAAGCGCTTTAATAGTTTAGCAATACGATTTTTCTGCGCGCCATTCAAAACACTGGCCATTGTGCAAGTATTTATTGTTATCGATAAGTTTGCTTTGACTGAAATCTGATGCGCCAGTATTGGGCAATTTTGCACTTTTGTCTTTTTGTTGCTCTGTTTTTTTTTTTCTTTTTCTTTTGGGGCAGTGAGTACCGCAAGCTGTGCCAGCTTAATTGTTTTTGTTTTATTGAAACAGTGCCGGTTGATTGTTTGATGAATTCTCGTTAAAAAATTTGACTAGCAACTGAAATGGAATGCTCCACAAATTGAATACTTGATTTACAGAAAAAATGTTGGCGCTATGCACTCAGAGCTTGTTATGCGAAAGTATTCGGTTTCAAGTAAGAAATGAATGAACATCTCTTAATTAATAGACTAACAACATTTACATTCTTCAGTAAATGCATGTTCTGATTTGTTTGTAGTCAAATTACCATTTGCGAGCGATTAATTATACATATATGGCTAACAGAATATTTATCCAAAATAACGTTTAAGGCTAATACAATTTTGTCAGCGAGCACAATAATGGGTTAAGAGGCAACATAACGGTTATTAACTGTTGGTTCAGAGCTGTTCGGGCTGCTGTTATTGCATCTAACCGCTGTATACATACATATGTACTTATCATATAGAGTGCTGTGTGCAGGGGTGGGGAGTGGGGAGTGGGGAGTAGGGGCTCGCGACTGTACTTACATTTTTGCAATCAACGAAATCCGTGCAATAATGCCAATCCCTCGCAAACTGAAATAAAAGAAGAAAAAGAAGTGGAAGTATTTTAAGAGATGAGGCAAAAACCAGAACAACCGACACATACAAAAAAGTTAGTTAGTGGGCGTGGCCTAATCGAATTTTAAGTAAGCTAGAAAAAGTAATCAGGCACAGCGCCGCAGGCAACTGGCCGAGGACAACGCCACAGCATTGCCATTACCAACAATAGACGCAAATTTGTAACTGTAATATGAAAAGGCCTGACTGCAAAAAAAAAGCCAAAGCACACAGATAAAAGACTAGCGGTTTCTCTGTGTGTGTGTGTGTGAGAGAGAGGAAGAGGGAGAGAGTGCGTGTGTCTGTTTGTATAAATGACCGCAAAGTTGTATGGCGAATTGAAATTTTCACGCTGTCGGCAGGAGATGAAACTGTGAACTAACTGGACATGGCGACGACGACGGCGACTGTGACTGCGTCGTATATATGTATATGTATGTGTGTGTGTTGAATGCTATATGCCTCTGCCTGCTTAGCCTTTGTCAACTGTCGCTTTAGCTACGCAGCAGCGACAGCTGGACAACGTTCTGGGTAGCAAAGCAATGAGTTCTAAGGCACAGCAGCAGAGCCCGGTTCCCAGTGGCTGTCCGTTTAGTTTATGAATGAGCACGCAGACAAATGAATGAATGTGCTGATGCGAACTGAGAATGAGAAGGAGATGGAGATGGAGATGGAGATGGAGATAGGGACAGGAACAGGGACAGGGACTTTGACTGTGACTGTGACTCTGCCGACTGGAACGAGATGGCGGGCATCAGCAACCAGCAACCAGCATTCTGGAGCGGCATCGGCAGCAGCAGGAGCACTTTGTCATCATTACACAATAAGGCGGCCAGATAAACGAGCATGCCAAAAGGAAAATCGCAAAGACAACATATTTTCCGCTCAATTGAATTTTTGGCCTTTGCGAAACAACTTGGGCGATAAGTAACAACAATAAGGCGGCAAATGAATGAATGAATGTGTGTGTGTGTGTGTGGCACTGGCAATACCAATTAGAGATGGCAACGTGATTTTTTTTTTTTTTTGATTGCCCATCGCATCGTTAACATAATTGTAATTGTAATTGCAATATTACATACATGTGCTTTATGTGAGGTTATGAGATATACAAAACCGTTAATTGGGCATTTGCCACATTTATACATGTCTATGTATATGCATCAATGTGTGCTCTAATTGAGGTTATGTTACCGAATGGAGAACAAGAAGTCGGCTATAATTAATGTGAGCTTTCAATAGCTGAGCTGCTTAATTTATACGATTTCCCAATGTATTCCTTTGATTTGCATGCATGTAAAACATTGAACATGCTTCTTCATTGTAAAATTTAAAAGTTGGTTGCACATTTGTGCGTGTCACGTTGCCATCTTTAGTTGGCTGATGAAAACGAAACGCACCGCACGCTCAATGAAAACGCTGAGCAGGCAAGTCCGGTCGACATAGTCCGTTCCAGACCGTGTTCCGACCGTTTCCCCTTGCCAGGGAGTGCGTCTTGCGGCCTACCTGGCATAGTTGTTGGCCCATATAAATTAAACGCAGGCAGCGAACAATTTTTACATGCAATTGCCCACGGTATTGGACATCGCTTCACACCCAGGCCACATAAATTACCCATCCAGGTCAGTTTTGAGCAGTTTTATGAGCTGCCGCTGCCGCTGCCGCCACCAATGCCCATTGCCCAGTTGAGCAGTTGAGCAGTTTCAGTGGCACGTAGTCGCCAAAATGCTGCGCTTGTCAATTATTGAAGACCCGTCGGAACAGATTCCACCACCAGCCAAAGGCTACGTGCTCGGCATACCCAATTGGCATTACGAATTGAACTGTGCCTGTGTTCTCAAACAGCTTGCGACGATTTCTTAACGCACACCCCCAATAGGAAAAAAAGTCACCCGAATGCAAGGAACAAAGTCTTCGGATGCTGCCAACTTTTATGGTGTTAATTTGGCGCTGATTGTGGCTCGTTGGGTGGGTTGGTGGCCTCTGTCGGGGATTAGAGCCGGACAGGCGTGAAATTAGCCACAGTGCATACGGTCGCCGCTTGCAGGCAACCCTTAAAGGTCAACGGATTGCATTTGCCAGTTGGATCAAAGCACGAATTCTATCGCGTTGACATTAGGGGAGACGCCAACGATTTCCAAAAGGAATTCAATGAAGCCACCACTTTACGTTTCAGTTGAAAGAAGCATTTGAAGCTTTACAAAAAAAAAAAAAAAAACGATTAAAGTTTTCCATTTAATACCGATTTCTATTGAAACGCATTCCATACATATTATAAATTGTTCAATTCATGGAATTGATATTGATTCAAAAGTCAAAGGAATCTGACCTAATAATTGGTGCAAGAGAAGAGAGAACGGTTTAAAATCTAGGCATATCATATATCATATATGTACCATTTATCCTATCATATCATATCATATTCCCTTCTATTCCATCATATCATTTATAACATATATCATTTATATCACGTTTTTACATTTGGCTTTTCACAGAAATCGATCAATCGGATTGATTGAAACAGTCTTGACCAGTGTTGCAAACACCAATATATTTTGGAAGCTAATTGCCAATTGCCTGTCTTAAAGTTTCGTACAGTTGATTCTCCATACATTTCTCAAATCGGTAAGCTCAAGTTTTGACTCAAATCTTTGTTAATCGTACATTATGGAAACTGCCCGTTCTACTGAAAATATCGTAAGCTGTAGATATTTTCATACAGAGTTTTCGGGCTAAATCAAACAACGAAAATTTCCTCTCGTGTACTCAAGGCATATCTACTCAAATGTCTAAACTTAAATCAACATAATTAAAATGAAAACTGACTGCCAGAAGAAAATCATTTATTTACGCGTTTTTCAACACTTTTTTGTGACATTTTCTCTTCATGAATCGCCGATTAACTTCAAGCGAATACAACAGGAGCAAAACCCAAAGCATCAAACGTCATTTAAATGCTTGAAAAATCTATAAATTATAATTAAAAAATAATACGGCACGCAACGTGTGTCACGTACCGTTTAACACATTAAAAGGTTCTAGTCGGAAGCTCCCGACTAGGAAATACCCTGCACCCTCTTCTTGCAACACCAAATAGTATAGTATTCTAGAAGCTATATGCCATCTTTAGTGACTCTAGCTCTTATTATTTACCAGAACTGCCCAAAAAACAGGATTTCGATATAGATTCTTATCGATAACTTGCAAACGGGGCAAGTTATCGATTAACGGAAACGGGCACAAGGACGACCTACAGCTAATAGCTTATAGGTTCTGAGATCCTTGCGTTCATACATACGGACAGACGGACGGACATGACTAGATCGACTCGGCTATTGATGCTGATCAAGATTATATACACTATAGGGGCTCGGATGTGCCTTTTGCTCAAATACAATATACCCTTACATCCATTTTGAATGGGTTCAGGGTATAAAAAAAAAACACAATTATGCTTTAATAATAACATTCTGTCGCATTTTGTTAAAATAATTGCATTAATTAAATCACTTGTCGGAGAATTTTGCGTTTTTTGATAGACGCAGACGAAACACAGTTTGGCTTTCAGTCACGTAACGAGTTATTATTATTGTTGTTTGTAAATTGTTAACACAATTTCGACAGCTACCGCAATTAGCATTAAAAATACGGCTATTAAAATATTATCCGCAAGTGTTTCTGGAATGTAAATCACAATCAGCGTTTCTTTATTATCGAGAAATAGTTCGGGTCTAATGATTAAGTTGAGCTTCTCTTAACGATCCAGAAACATTTCTGGTTTATAAATCGAACTAAGATTATCTTTAATATCTGGATTTACTTTCTGGTTATAAATTAAGTTGAGCTTTTCTATTTTCTCTACAAATATTTATGGAATGTAAATCAAAGTAAGCTTTTCTCGATTATCGAGAAATATTTCGGGTTCATAGCTCAAATTGAAACAGAATTATTTCCCGACTATAAATCGGACTAAGCTTATCTTTATGTTTCCTAAATATTTTCTGATTTTTTCTGCTTTCTTTATTATTCAAAACTATCTCTGGATTCTTTATTATCCGAACATATTTCTGTTATATGGATCAAATTGAAGCAGAAATATTGGGCAAACAGGGATTAAATATAATTTATATATTATTGTATTATCCAAAAATGTTTCCTGATTATAAATTAAATTGAACTTTTTTATATTATCCAGAACTACTTCTGGGTTATACATGAAGTTGAGCTCCTGCTTAGTATTCAATCGAGCTTGTCGATATGATGCAGAAATATGTCTAGATTATAAATCAAATTAAGGTTCCCGACATGAAAGACGTAATGCCCCTCCATTATCTAGGCCCTCAGAGAGATTTCGCTCTTGTTCTTACAATCATTTAATTGTATAAAATTGTGCTCGTTTTTCTTCATTCTTTCATTTGTTCTTTAAACGAGATTTGAATACTTGTTTCCACAGTCATTCAATAAAAATGAAATGAATTTGTACGCAACCCTCCCCTGCTCGCGGCTTCGAGGCTTCTCTGTCCGCCAACTCCGCAGGGGAACACGCGGAAGCACACCCAATGGCCCTGCGGCATTGTGGCTCCTTGCTCGATCTCCCTCCCTCCCAGTTGCCTAATCTCTATTAGCTGCGCTATGACTGGCGTGGACCACCCAGCTGACATTGTCAACTGACAGCGACAGCTACCTGAGAAGCAGCGGCAGCGATGTCAGCGAGCAGATAAAGGCGACCAGCCGCATTAAAAAACAACTAAGAATATTATAGTCGGATGTTAACGACGTTGCAATACTCTGCTTTCCCAACAAAAACGAGTCAAAAGTGGCATGAACAATATCAATAAAATCTGGATGATAATATAGACGATTCTAGGGTCAGGCGCGTATAAAAAAAAAAAACAAGAAAATCTTCAATTTTAGTTGAGTTCTTAGCAGAAAGAAAAGAGAAGAATTTGTGTGTATTTCCAGTGTTGTGAAAGCTTGAAGCAATTGCAAGGCATCTTCGATTAAGCTGGTCACACTTCAGCCGTGTTTGTCTAGAAAGCGATCTATTAGAGGATGGTCGTTAGCAACTCATCCAATTGCCTGCAAGTCCTTTAACTGTCCCTCACAAACAGGCGTTGCTGTAATACTTTTGACACCTTATCGAAGGTGCGAGTATTTAAACAAAATTGGGAGAAAACCCCTAGCTAAGCGTCAAACACAGCAGTTGAACCAATAGACTCCCGCTCACGTTTACGTATAGAGTAAACAAAACGTTTTCCCGTCGCCGTTTGCCCTGCCCTGCCCGACCCTGCCGTGCCCTGTCCTGCCCTTTGCCTGTGCTGTCTGTCTGTCAGGCCCATTGTCATTGCCCAACTGGACAAGCGGGGCTGCGTTTGGGCTGCTGCCGAGACGCTAACCTTGAAGTCGCGCTCGAGAGTCTCTCGGAGCAGTCGAGCGTACCGTATAAACTACACATACAAGTGTCCATCAAGTGCGTCTTATCTTTAGTGGCCTGAGCCGGGCTTACCTGCTGATAGCAGCTTTGGCGGCATCTGGTTAGCTGCTTGCTGCCGAATGGCGTTGCAGCCGCTGCTGCTGCCGCAGCCGCTGCCTGCGTCTCGGTTGCCTGCAGCTGGATGGCAGCGTTAGCATTCGCATCCTTCGGTAGCTGTGCCACAGATTGGGCGGTGACCAGAACTAGCGCTAGTGCAATTGACTGGAACATGTTTTGTTGCTGTTTTTGTTTTCTCTCCCTCTCTCTCTCTCTCTCTCGCTATCTCTTCTTTGTTGTTGCTGTTGCAGTTTGAAGTGCGCGTGGGCGTGGGCGTGGGCGTACGCCTGGGGCGTTCACAGATTGATTAATTGATTGATTTTGTTTTGTTTATTTTTGTATCAAGTGCTGTTGATGTTCTTCTTCTTCCTGTTGTTGTTGTTGTTGCTGTTTGGTTAGGCCCATAGTACGCGATGACTGTGACGACAGCGACGTCAACGTTGACGTCGACTGCATTTAGCGACGCAGCGCACGCAGCACGTTTTGTGTATTTCTGTTTGTTTTTGTTGTTGTTGTTGTTGTGTGTGTGTTGTGATTTGGCGATTGCTTATTGCAGCAACAATAACTGGACTGAAGCTAAAGGCATGCTGCGAATGCTACACGCAGAGAGTAACTGTAACTGTAGCTGAAGTTCGTTTATGTCGTTTAGTTTCGTTTCAAATTTTCTTTTTGGAAGGCGAGCGGGGTTTACTTATGGGTAAATGTCCCGGTCTGGGAAGCAGCCGTTTCGGGGCGCTGGTTTGACTAACAACATGTGCCGTGGCCCTGACTCCGGCTCTGCGCAGCTTGTTTAAGTTTCTTATATCAGGTAAGTTGGCACTGGCACCATAAAAAAAAAAACAAAAAACAGAACACAAACAAATAACACACGACAACAATAAATAAAACGTGCACACACAACAAGAGCAGCAGCAGCAGAAGCAGCAGCAGCAGCAGCGGCAGCGGCAGCGGCAACAAAAAAAAAAAAAAACTAAATAAATAAATAACAACACCAACGGACAAGGCGAGAAACGACTGCGACTTCGACTTCGACTGCGACTTCGACTTCGACTGCGACTGCGACAGCGACAGTGACAATGACTGAGGGCGAAGGCGAAACCAACCAACGTCGTCGAGGATAAATGCTGCACTAACGGAAAACGAAAACTGAACCAGAACCAGGCTGCGAGATAACACACAAGTACACACACACACACGCAGGCACACAGGCAAACACACACACACACACACGGGCACACTCATGCACACGAACGCACACAGCGCCCCGGAGAGCAGAGTAAAAGAAAGGGCTGCTTCACACAGCTGATACAGCCGTAAAATGGCTATATTCTAGCTTTTTTTTAAAATAATTTCAGCGCATTTCAATATTTATAAAGTTAGTTTGTTAGATAATTTATGCATGCTAAAGTTATTTAATTTCGAAAGCAAACAAATTATTAGAACTTGGAAACTGTTTAAAAAATCTTCTCCTTTAATTAAAGTTTTATGCTGGGCTCCCTGTTCGATGTTTACAAAATTAACCAAAAAAAAAAAAATGTAATTACGCCACATTTATGGCGTTATTTTATGGAGTGCAGAAAGACAAGCTTATTTTGTCCTTGACATACGAATGTCCATATGTTAGCTGCATTATACACACAACTCGCCTTTTTTCGGCTAAATTTGTTGGCAAGGCCACCGCGAGTTTATACAACACTTGCCGCTCATACTGAAAAGGGGCGTCAGTCAGTGGTTGCTGCTCGAACATGATGCCCAACACCGAACACGAACATGTTTGAAACGGTATTTGAACTGCATTAGTAATGCGAGCGTGTCGTGATTATTTATCGTGCAATAAACAAATCAAATAAATATGCATACAAACCGAATTGGAATATTAATGAGCGCATGCACTGAAACTATTTCAAAACTAGCACAAATAGGTATGTCAATAAATCGTTTATAGATTGTTAGCTAACTAAATGTGCCAGCAGAGTCTGTGCTTAAGTCGTGTCGTGATTTGAAGTTGTTGAGCCCGATGCCGGCACTAAATTGCAGGCAACAGCAAAATGTCGGGAGTTGAAGTTGGGCCAACGGAGTCACCGGAGTCTGTGTGTGGAGAGACCGTTTGGTGGTTGCTTCGCCCGTTTGGGTTGACTTTGATGATGATGTCGTTGGGGTGGCGGCGGCACCCAGGCTAAGGCTTTGGCTATGGATTTAGCTTTGGCTATGGCTTTGCCTTTGACTTGGTGGTGGTAATGGTGGGCAACCCCCCCCCCCCCCCCCCCCCCCCCCTCGCTCCCCTAACAACAATGTCCCAGCATCGCGCGTGCATGCAGATGAATCAAAGCAGCCGCTGATTATAGCAACAATATGGAAATGCCGCTACCTCTCCACTGCTCTGGCTTGCCTCGGGTTATATAGGGGCATTGTTTATTTATATGCCATGCACATGTGCTTGTGTATGTGTGTGTGTGTGTGTGTGTGTGTGTGTGTGTTTGTGTTTGTGTTTGGTTTTTATAACTTCCATTTGCCAAAGCATAGTAAATTCTTTCAAAGCGTGTACTACATTTATTATTTAAGCCACGCTGTTCTCACTCTCTCTTTCGCCCAGTCGAACCGCTCACCCCTTACACTATAACACCCCCCCCCCCCCCTAACACCGCCGCCAACCAATCCCCTCGCATCTATATGCACATTGTTCTAGCTGGGGCTTTCGTTTGTGTCTGTTTGTCTCTGTCTCTGACTGCTGCTGTATTAGCCCCCATTCCCCCCACAGCCCACCCCCCCCTGTCTTGCCCCACCTGCTCCTTAGCAGCAACAACAACAATAAGAAGAGCCTGCTTTATTTGCATATTTTGACTTTTATGCGGCAAAAATATTACTTGCTGCGCTGCTGCCAACAAACAAACAACCCCTCCACAGGCCCCACACTCCACACTCCTTGCCCTCCCCTGCCCACCCCTGCCCTGCCAGGTCACCCTCTCCTAAAACAGGGCAACGTTAATAAAGCGTCAGAGTATACCAAATACGAAAAAAAAAAGAAGAAAAAAAAAGCGCCAAAAATTAAGGCAAAAACTTTTTTCCATTTGGCATGCTGCCCTCACACGCGCGGACCTTCCGCCCCTACGTGCCGCTGGCCTCCAGCGTCTATATACATACATTCCTTATATAAGTCGTCTGCAAAGTTTGAAATTTTGGGGCTGGTTTATAACTCCATTGCAACATGTTGCATGTTTGAAATTGCCTAAAAACAGAAGAAAAAAAAGCAACAAGAACAGGACAAAACAACAACAAAATACATAGATCAGTTATCAAAGCATGCAGAGCCCAGAAGTCCGACAGGCTCGTAAATACTTTGAAAACATTTTACATAGGGCTCATAATTTGTTTTTCAACTTTAATGCGCCAAAAGCCAGAAATATGCTAATACTTACATTGATGCCACTGCTCATGAACATAATATACATATATAGCCCATTGCCTATCCAGAGACCTATAGCAACTAGATTTGTAGCAAATGCCCTGCAACATGGTTTAAATACTTTTTGAATTATGTGCGCTGAAACACGTTTGTAACAGTTATAAACCACCTTCGAAGCAGCATTTTAAATGTGCAGTATTTATTTCTAATTAGTTGCTTAACAACACACATTTCTACATATGTCACAGCGTTGCCAGCTTGTTTGGTAAAGTTATGGGATCTCCCACACAACACACAACGTCAATGGGAAGGCGGAAGAGTTGTATGATTAAATACACTTGCAGACACACTACATACTAGATACTAGATACTACATTCTAGATACTAGATACTACATACTACATAGTAGATACTAGATACTAGATACTAGATACTACATACTACATACTAGATACTAGATACTAGATACTACATACTAGATACTAGATACTAGATACTAGATACTAGATACTAGATAGTAAATACTAGATACTAGATACTAGATACTAGATACTAGATACTAGATACTAGATACTACATACTAGATACTAGATACTAGATACTAGATACTAGATACTACATACTAGATACTACATACTAGATACTACATACTAGATACTAGATACTAGATACTAGATACTAGATACTACATACTACATACTACATACTACATACTAGATACTACATACTACAAACTACATACTACATATTTACAAGGATATAGTGATATGATCCAGATGATTCGTCTAAGGTTTTAGGAGGTTGATCAACCCAACTTAATGACTGCATCAGTTCGAAGAGATGCCTATGTGTTACACATTCCAGGACTAAGTTGGAATATCCTCAGCGAGGGTATGCAAAGTGAGCAAGAGCTTTGAAATTTATGCGCCCATAGCGAGCCATTTTGCAGTGCAGAAGTTTTTAAAACAAAATTCCATTTTGCGGCTACCGCAATTGACTTTGTCGTTGCGGATGGCCAGCCCGTCCGGCCAAGGCCCACCGCCATCCACTCTTCAGTGTCCAGAGTCCGCTTTCCGCTGTCCGCTGTCCACTTAATGGCGTACAACATGCATGCCATGGCCATGGAGATGCGGGCCTGTCGGACTTATTAAAAGCCGTTTTACACTAATACTAATTCATGGCAAGCCGTTGGCGTTTGTTTTTAGTTTGATTTACGCATTTTTGAAGCATGCGACAAAGTTTGGCCTCAGTCTCGGAACTGGGAACTGAGATTGCGACTGGAATTGGTATTGGTATTGGAACTGGGATTGGAATTGGGATTGGGAGTGACACCAGCTGCAGCTGGGCAATGGAGCGCTTCCGGCAAGCTGCAAATTCCCCTGGGTGATAAGTGGAAATGACGCACAATGAGCACATCCGGTCCAGCAGCAGGGAGAGGGGTGGGCCAAGGCGCATGGGAATTAATGTAGCAGCCGGGCGCACAATAGGCTAGGGTTAAAAACCGAACCAAAGTCAAAAACTCTTTTATTTTTGATTTTCATTTTCATTTCATATTTTCCCTAGCCAATAGGCAAACTATCGCCGGGGGCAGCTGAGCAACAGCAACGACACAGCGAATCCATTAAGAGATTTGAAATTCTTAAAAATTAGCATGCGAAATAAAACAGGGGCAGAAGGGGCAGAGTGAAAACTTCGCAGAGTAATTAATGGAATTTTTGAACTTTTGGTGCAAATGCTGAAGTCTGCATAGCACACGGCATTCATTTCATTTCATTTCATTGATGGAGAGTAGATTTGCATTGGCGATGGCTCCTTTGGCCTGCCGCATGGGCCGCAAATAAATTTGTCGTCGTGTTGCAGTTAGCCCGAAATAGAGCAATTTGCATTATTCGCATTCGGGCAGATTTCGCTTAATGAATTGCGCACAACTTGCCAAGAAATTTCTTTTGTAGCATTAAAAGCGGGGGGGAAAAAAAATAAAACAAATGCCACAAAAATTTCCAACAAAGCAAATTTAATTGCCATCATGCCGAAGATTGTATGTTCTTTAATTTCAAATTTGCAGTTCAATACAAATCGCCGCTTTTGAGCTCGCTTTCTCATTTGAACCGATGTCTTGGTTCGAATCACTTTAAACATTTGCCTGATGCTCAAAGTTAATATGATACCCCCAGAAATTAATTATCTATTCCTTCTATCATTAATTCGAATGCGTTGTTAGCTGCCAATCTCGAGATATATTTTGTTTCCTTACCAACACTGCTCGTTGCACACCACCTGTGTTATATAACCACGCCCCCTGGGTGGAAAATTGTGGTCAAGTGTGTATGTGTGTGTGAAAAGTTTACAGTTTCATTTGATTGGCTTCAAATCTCGTTTAAAAGCGTTACATAAAAACTTAATAAACACGTGCTTGGGTAATTTATTAAATCTAGCCCCAAGCTCGGAAAATGTACGGAAAATTGTTGCAAGCAACTTTTATGTTTTTTTACCCTATCACAAACTCACACTTGAATCAGAACAGTCCGCTAGACAGACAAACGATAGAGGTTGAGGTACAGATACAGATACAGATACAGATACAGATACAGATACAGATACAGATACAGATACAGATACAGAAACAGATACAGATACAGATACAGATACAGATACAGATACAGATACAGATACAGATACAGATACAGATACAGATACAGATACAGATACAGATACAGATACAGATACAGATACAGATACAGATACAGATACAGATACAGATACAGATACAGATACAGATACAGATACAGATACAGATACAGATACAGATACAGATACAGATACAGATACAGATACAGATACAGATACAGATACAGATACAGATACAGATACAGATACAGATACAGATACAGATACAGATACAGATACAGATACAGATACAGATACAGATACAGATACAGATACAGATACAGATACAGATACAGATACAGATACAGAATATAAAGATACATATACATATAAATCGGTCGCTAAGTGAATTGAAAATTTTGAATGGACTCTGGAAAGAGGATTTACATAGCGTACGATCTGTCTGCGTCTGGCACTTTGTCTAAAACACATTACGCTCCCATATCGTGCACATCTGAACCTGATTTCGATTCCGTATTTGAAGGGGTGTCACAGTCTTCTGTCTTCCCTCTGTCTGTGCTCACCGTAATCGGAATGCGCTCATCTTCATCTGCGTGGCGCGCGAATGGATCGCGTACGGACTTCATGTTTTTGTTCTTCGGCTGCGACGGGATGCCTCATGTTCATTCGCAATGTTAATGCAAAATAGCATTTGCATTCATGATGCCGATGTCGAGATGCTGTCGCTGCTGCTACACCCAACCCCCTCTGCTGTCCTATAGCCAGCGCATTTTGCGCAAACCTCACCGCAGAGCCAACAGCTGTGCTGATTCGCAATTTTTCGTTGTCAAAAAAAAAAATGGCCCATAACTCATGTCACCGTTGTGTTCATTAAATGTGAACTGACTGTCTGCCCAACCGTCTGGTCCTGCTGCTGCTGCTGCTGTTGCTCCTTCTCCAGCCAGCGTGCCAGTTGCACCAGTTGTGCCAGTTCGGGTGGGCTTCCTCTTCACATTTTATTGTCTATGTGCGCATATGGTCAGCTCATTGTATAGTCGCTTATATTGCCATTATCATCATCATGTAGCGATTAATGCGGCTCTTCTATTCCAGATATGAATGTACGTGATACATCTATCACAGCACACGTCGACGACCTTTTTTAGAGGGGGGAGGGGGGGTGCGAAATTGTTTTGGGACGTGGACCCGGCACACTGCCATTTGTCCGCCGCTGGTGGTGCTCGTGCTGCTGCTGCTGCTGCTGGTGGTGGTGGTGGTTGAGACTCTATAATATACGAGCATGTAATTATATATGTACACCCATGCACATAACACTGGATGCCCGAAGGCATTAACGCATTTTCAAAGGCAATGTGCGTTAAGCTTCAGCTCAAGTGCAGCAACTCCATCAAAATGTCATAGGGCCATGATTACAAAAATTAGATATTGCCCGTAGCAAGGTGCGGGCCAGCCACAGGGGAATTTAATGAACAACATGTGACAGATTTCATGTAAATTGATAAATGAATTAACCAACCAACCTTTCAACTCAAATATTTAGTTTGTATAGGATGTGCATGAAGTGTATGTTTAATGTTTTTCTCACTCCTATTTGGTAAGATTCGTTCAAACAGCATACATTTTAGGTTCATTCGTTTCATTATTTTTATTTAATTTTATTTATTTATTTAAAAAGCCTTCTAAACATTCCACATTATTCGAATGTATGTAACACATATTCATCAACGGCTTAATATGAAATCCAAGCTATTATTATGAGCAAAGCAATCGATACATAATTCAAAAATTCAATTCTACCCGCCAACACGACTGCGTTATCGAAGTTGCGACTATGCGATAGTTTGTAAATAAACAATTCCTACACACAGTCACCAACACTGTGCAATTTATGCGACATTTGACTACACTCAAATTTGCGTTCATTTTTCTTCATTTCTATTCCTAGTTTTTTTGTGCATGCTAAAAATTATTTGGGAAAATTTGTGAACAAAAAAAGTGTGTTACCAATACGTTTAACATTATGCACATTGTAAGTGAACAAACAACTCTATAATTAGCACTGTAAGTAAGAAATTAACAACAAATCGCTTTTCGTGGAGCGTGCGAAACGACGTCGACGTTTTGTTGTGGCAAAAAAAGAAAGAAAAAAAAAATATAAAGGAAAAGAACGAGCCGCTACTGTGAAATTGTGCATGTATATGTGAACGTGCGTGTTTTGTGTGCGTGTGTGTGTGCGTGTGCGTATGCGTGCATATTTGTCTTATTTCTTCTCGTGTCAAAACCAGTGCATACAATACACAAATAACTTGATTGACAGTGTGACCAAAACGAGGGAAACACTGCCGAAGTGCTGACCAGGTAATTGCCAGTCGGCGCCATTGTTTTGCTATTCGAGATGGGCGCATGTCGGATTTATGTATGAAAACAAAAAAAAAAAAAAAAAGGATTAAAGATAACTTCAGGTCTGGGCATAAGCTATGCAAAAGATGCCAATTCATGTTCACCACGCAATATTAAATGCGGCAATGTTATGGTAATGGGGCTAACAGCTGTTTGGCTTGAAGTGTGTGAGTCGACTAGCTGTATGGCAATTAAGTCGATGCAGCCCTTTAAAAGGGAGCATTACATATTTGTACTGCAGGTTAAATAAATGCAACTAATATGCGCTGATTTAGTGGCAATAAATGTCAACACTTGGCGATCGCAAACAACTTAAAAGTTTGCATAGTTTTGGCGCAGGCTTGGGCCCAGATCCTTGTTGAATCGTGTATTTTGGTTTTCGTGTCACGACATGCACCCATCTCTTGCCGGTTAAAATCAAGAGACCAATCGCTGCCTTCTTGCAGATTTGTCCAAATATGAGCTACCTAACGGGCGAGCCGGTACCGCCCGGCTTTGAGGATGAAATGGCGCGCACTGCGATTATACAAAAGCAAATAGACAGCTTTAAAGGCGGCTCCCTAATTGGCACCGAATACGTTGTGGAACTGCACGAGGATGGCCAGGTGCGTCCCGATTATTTTTGTGTGCTGTGCAATACGTGCAACGATAGCCACTCCATATTTACGCACTGGACATCGGTGACCCATCGCTCCAACTATTTGAAGACGCACTTTCAGAAGGCGTTCGAAGTGCTCCAGCAATTGCGTCGCTCGTCAAGCAACTCCAACGAGCTGGTGCTGAATGCCACCACAAAGCTGGTGCAGCTCATTGAGCAGCATTATGGCCGCAGCATGCAGGTGCTGGCCGTTGCTGGCGATGATTTTCGTCGCTTTCGTGCTAAAATCTGTTCACAGGTGCGCGATAAGTTTCATTTTGATGAATGTGCCGGTCCCGATTTTCTAGACGAGCTGCGTCAAACGATACAGTCCCTAAAGCCTGCAGAGTCCATTAAAGGATCGCGCAACACAGAGAACATACCAATTGCACTGGATGCCATTTCCAGTGAGGATGATGAGAACTTTACGGCCACAGCCGGCCATCAGACGCCGCAGCAATTGTCAAAAAAGGCAGCACGCAAAAAGCAGGCGGAACAGCAGCCGGCATATCGTGCCGCCAATCGTTCACCACCCGCTGGCAGCTCCGATAAACCAGCCACAGTTGTTGCCAAGATTGTAACACCCGTACAGCTGCCGACGCCCAAGGAGCTATCGCTGCAAGCATCACACATTGCCCAGGAGCGTTACAAGTGGGAGAAGTTTCGGTGTCTGTTGGAGCTGCAGCTGAAGCAGCTGCGCGACGAGACCGAAACATATGAATCGAATCCGGAGAAGCATCCCGATTATTCCGAAGAATGGAAACTGTTTTGGAATCGACGCTACAAGCAGCTGCAGGAGGAGAAGAAATGCGATCCGAATAGCTATGACTACAAGCCCGAATGGATCACCTACTGGAAGGACAGGCGTGTCGAGCTCTTCAACATATCCGTGAACAAGATCAAAAAGGAGCTCAAGGACAAGTTTAAGCTTGGCGACGAGGACGAGGAAAACACCAAGGAACTAATGGAGCGCTACAAAATACGCGTCAACAGCCCCAAAAATACTGCCGCCCCGGCTGCAGCCTCTGCTGCTGCCACCGCCAATGCTGTGCGTCGCAAGCCCAACTATCGTGGCGCCAACAATCGTAACGGCAATGGTGGCTCCCTAGCCAGCGATGCTGTCATCGATATTAGCGATGACGATCAGCAGGCACCTGCTGCGCCATCGGCACGCCCCAATCGCCGTTCAGCCTATCCGCGCTCTGTGTCGCGCTCGTTGTCGCCCAAACGTGGACGGCCACCGCCGCCCCGGATGGGTCGGCGTTCGCGCACTCGCTCGCCGGTTGTCTCAAGGCGCCGGCCGCGATCTCGGTCCAGATCTCGCTCGCCGCACCGGCGTTCACGGTCACCCTACAGCCGGGGTCGGGATAGATCGCTGCATTCGCGCGGCCACGATGATTACGCGGATAGGGGCCGTGAAAGAAGCGGCGATTATTACAGGGAGAGGGGCGACAGTTATTCGCGCACATCGCGCACCTATGAACCGATGGAGACGTTCCGTGTATTGGATTCGCGCGTCTATCCGGAGTACAGTCAGCCCAGACAGCGTTCCACATCGCCGACGGGCACATCAATGTCCGCTGCTAACAAGGAACTGGACTCAATTGAGGAGCCCGAGGGTCCACTGACCGTGGTCAGTGTGCTGCGCATGCTGTCCGCCCTGGAGGATCAGTTGGGCAGTCTCGGCCCCAAGGCGCTCAATTTGCTCAGCAAGGCGCTGGCCATGGAGAAGATCAAACCGAATGCCGCCGATGATTTGCTATTGAACGAGGACAATTGCGTCTTCATGGAGACCACCAAGGAGAAGCTAAAGGGTATACTCATTGCCGAAGTGCTCGATGATCCACAAAAAGTGCGCGTTGTGAAAAAGTTAATCAGCAATATAGCGACCATCATCTTCCAGGTGACCTCCAAAGGTAAGTTCCAGACAATACAAAATGAATACCCTTCCATTTTACAGATACCCAAGCGTATGTCTTCCCGTCCAGCTCATTTAACTGAGCCGCAAGGTAAGCATATTTTGCTCGTTGTCGGCATGACGGGAGGCGGATGGTTGGGTGGGTCGGAGCGGGCTGCGGCGGGGTAAAGGTCGCTCAGACATTTAGGCATATATTGAATAAATATTTTTGCTACCAAGGACTGCAAAGAAAACATCTATCTAAACATGGTCTAAGCCTGCAGCCAGTCACAATTCTTGGCAATGGCACAAATATTCAATTCTTTATGCGATCTGTTTGACCTGCTCTCAACCCTGCTGAACTTTAGTTTATGTGTGCGTTCTTCTGCTTCTTCTTTTTTTTGGTTGATTTGTGGTTGTGATTTCGCATTGCCAGGGTTGCCAAACGTTTCGAATTGCGTGCACAACTCATAACGGGCACAAGTTTTCAGTATTTAATGCCTAAAACTAATTCGGTTCGTGTTTGAAATAATTGCGTTCATGAGACTTGTTATTGAGCTCTTTTGTTCATTATCTATAAGAAATATTGTGTTGAAGAGGAATATAAAATTCCGACTTATGCAATCCTTAAGCAGCAGATCCTTAACTTGAGCTGTTTCCAATTTATTGAGCATCGATAAATATCGATTGGTTATTATTTTTGCTCGCCTTATATTAAGAAAATCGATCAACTCTGCAATGTGCGTGGGCATGCAATTTGCATCTAAATTGCGCCCATCTATGAAAATACTGTCGAGCAGTCATTATTTTTGACAGTGCTCGACTTGAGAATTTGTCAAATTAAAAGCCATATGAAATCTGAGTAGCAAGTATTGATTTGATTTTTGATCTTTCAGATTTGCTTTTTATATATGTATGCATACATATGTATATATATATATATATATATATATATATATGTATATAAAACAATTGTCTATCCTTGAATTAAAAGTCTCTGAAATATTAAACAATTAATTTTTTGAAAAAGTTGTTACACTCTGTTTTTGCTAGTACATCGAATAAAAAGCAAACGGTTGTATATATTCATTTCGTATATACAATATACAATCTGTCTGTGAGCCGTCATCTTTTTTTTTACTGGTTCAGTGTTTCGGTTGCGTTATGTGGGCTCTCGGTGCAGTGATACGGTCCGTTTCAGCGTACTCAGGTTAGTGCTCAAAGTGTCAATAAAAATAAAATAAAAAAGATAAAAAAAAAAAAAAAATAAATAAAAATAAAAATGTATAAAAAATGTAAAGGAAAAATGTTCTGGTTAAGTGCCCTGTCGCAAACAGCTGGAAGCGTCGCATATGCCGCACCTCCTCCTCTCAACGGCCGCCAAATTTGAATTGTATGTAATATTTTAGTTGTTCTTTTTTTTTTTTTTGTATTGTATATGCTTTTGATTTCCGATGCGTACAGCTAACTATGTGCTTGTTATAAATAAACGAATTAATTGTACATTTTGTGTTGCTTCCTCCTTTTCCAATCCACCACAACAAACAAACACACACACACACACACGCCAGGTGCTAAGGAGACGACGCAACAGGAGCCAAAGCACACGGACTTGGTCAAGAAGAAGGAATACCAGCTGCCGTTCGATAGACAGCTCGTTTCCTCGAAACTGGCTGGCGCTTTGGTTATGAATGGCCTGGACAATTTGAGCACCGATGATATGAACAAGCTGCTGCACTTTTATACGCTGCTGGTGAAGACGAATCATGTGCGTCGCCAGAGCGATCGGAACAGCTGTCTAAACTTTGCCGAGGTGCCGAGCCGAATGGGCGTGGCGGCCAGCACAAGCAACGAGGATGATGGCGGTGTCCTGGACATTGATATCTGTGAGCTCATGAAGGAGGTGGAACATCAGCTGGCCAAGGAGGCTGGCAATTGTGAGCTGACGCCCAAATCGAATTCCAATGATACTGGCAACAGCATGGAATCCCTGACCGATTCCGATCTGCAGACGCTGTTGCAGAACTTTAAGTTTTTGTCCAACGAGGAGCAGGTGCATCTAATTGGCCATTTGCGCAAACTGGAGAAACTGGAGCCGCCGCGCGTTGAGCGTTTGCGCAAATATGTTAACATTGCGGAGCTAAGCAGCGACGGTGAATCCTGCAGCGATTATCTGTCACGTGTCGTCGCCATCGGTCGGCCCGGCCAAAATGAACGCAGCGCCGCCAGCAGCAACACACGCATCTCATACTCAACGAACGCCGCGGCCGAACTCGTCTCGGCCATGCGCCGCACGAGCGTGGATCGGGATATGCCCACTGCGGCCAAGCAGCCGCGACGTGGCATTGGGTCGCGCATATCACCCAACTTTATGCTGGATGACGATGACGATGATGATTACAATTTCGATGATCTGGTGATGAAGGCGAACGATTCCAATGGCAAGAAAAACACAACGATGCCCAATGTTGTGGCAACCACAATGTCGCCCAATGCGCTGACCTTTAAGCCGGCGGCGTCAAAGATCTCACTTAAGGATACTGAAAACATAATAGCCAATCTAATGGGCACGCTGACCAACAACAGCAATCAGGCAAGCAGCGCGGCCAAGGCCCAGCAGCAACAACAACAGCAGCAGCAACAGATGCGAAATATGCCCAACATGTCCAACCTTGCACAACAGCGTCCACAACAACAACAACCGCAGCAGCAGCAGCAGCAGCAGGGGCCGCCGCAATCACAATATGGACCTAACAATGGAACCGGCAGCTACTATAACTATGGCGGCGATCAGCTGTCCAGCGGTCCCAGCAACTATCCAAGCATGCCGCAACAACAGCCACAACAGCAACAACAACAGCAGCAGCCTTACAATATGGGCAACTACAATGCCTATGGTCCGCCCATGGGCGGCGGCGGCGGTGGCGGTTATCCTGGCCAAATCAATCCCTGGGCCAATAATGGACCGCCACAACCGCCGTATAATAATCTGCCCCAGAACTATATGGCCCAACAGCAGCCGCAACAGCCGCCGCACTACAACAACGTGTACGGCAACCATCAATAAATGGGCAATTTTCTACTAGAAACAAATGTTAATTCTAAGCATCTCTTTAGCTGTAGACGGGGGCGCATATACAGCGTGTTGAATATTTTGATTTGGAGCCGAAATATTATATATAATATATATATATATATAGTTATGTATATTTAATTTTAAAGCATACACAGCCCTAGCATCGGATATTTTTTTTTTTTTTAGCATTAGAAATCGCGCAGCAAACATTTGTCTATATATATATATGCAAAATAAAAATGAACGCAGTTTAATTGGGTTTTAAATAGTTTATTTCTCATTTTTATTGTCTTCTACTTAGCATTAAGTCTTGCCCCGCACTGATTTCTTAACTGTGACCAAGTCTTATGAGATCAGTTCTGGCTGGTATAGGGCAACATCAGAAAGTTAACGGATTGACCACGAAACTTTTGGCCCATCTCCTCTTGCAGTATCTCGTGCAGCGTTTCGCCAGTTTCCTGATCGATCCAATGTCCGGTGACATGGCCGGGCGGCAGAATGTAATCATAACGCTTCTGTCCACTGATCGGAGAGGTTAGCCAAATCTGTTTGCTGGGCTTCTGGCGATTGATCACATACATGCCATTGACTGGGCCCAGATCCACGCTGAGCACCCCATCCTGCAAACGCATAAGGGCACAAATTTAGAAGATTCGATGAATTTTCAAAGCGATCTCAATATGGTTTGCCTTACGATTTGAGCCAGAATATGGTTCAAACCTTGACTATAATCATTTATTTTTATTTTAAAATTGCCCGTTCTAGTGAAAATATCGCAAGCCGTAGATATTTTCCTCTAGAAGATGCGGGCTAGATTTGTCATGCGCCCAGAAATGGCATCTACCAAATTTGCTTAGATGAAATAATTGGCGCATGATTAGGATTTAAGTGTTACTTCCGTGTGGGGCTGGCAGCCTTGATTCAAAGCTCCAATCTACTTACGCCATAGACCACATCGTAGTCGGGCAGATTAACGGCACTGTCGATTAGATCGTCAAAATAATCGGATAGTGTATCCAAAGTCTCGGCGCAGACGCGATCGTATGTGGCATCGTCTACGATGTAATCCGCATCGATCGGATTGCCGCAAAAAACGCAGATATCCATGTTGCTGCTGCCAGATGGATACGCCAGATCGGAAAGTTTGTATGGTGCAAATCCGGCGAAACGTCGTTGACAATTGCTATTACTTAAGGCTAGATGTAGACGAATGCGATTCATATCACAAAGGCCGAAATATTAGTTACTTTTAAAAAATATATAAACATATATACTTTTTAGTTCTGCCTTCGACTAGGGTTGAGAGCTAACTGCCCCACTGAGATTCCGGCTGGGCACAGGCATTGGGCGTCGACTGGACAGAAAAAAATATGCCTACTCTTGCTTTTATTATAGTTTCTGATCAGGATTTGGAAATGAGCATATTGGTCAATTTGTACAATCCTCACATTTACTCGTGTTTGTCCATCCGCTTGTGGGCGTGGCCGCCCCTAAAACCAATATCAGACAAATATATCAAAGCACAAATCATCAGATCGACTGCTCTGAAACTCTACCAAGATCGAGTCAATGCTTTGAGCCTGTTCCATCTATCAGAAATGGGTTACACGATGTATATTGCGTATGACATATATATTGGGTATATATATTCCTAATCAGGATCCCCAACGGACTGTTTGAAGCTCTGCGCATTTCGGCTTGCTCGCTGAACTCGTTCGGAACTGTAGTGAAAGATTGCAGATAGTCAACATGAAATGTGCTTAAACAGGGATAACAATCAGAGGCAACCTCTGGTTACCTTAGTGGGCGTGTCCAGCAGCTGGGAATAACCATGTCGTTTAGTGTAGTCTTTAGAAGAGGCAACTATCTTCGCTTGCGGCAGCAAACATGTGAATACATCGAATGAAATTCAGTATAGTTGCGTTTTTTTTCTTTGCTATACTTTAATTTTTTGTTTGTCTTTATATCATTAACAAATAACATGCCATCCGCCCAGCTCGTGTAGTATTGCCCACAATGAGAACAGAGTAGAAATCGAACTAGATAAAACTAACTAAATGAAAAAACTTTAAGACTGTTTGGTGGCAAGTTAGGGCAGCTTTAGGAAGTTAACCGGTTGCTCTCGAAAGATTTGAGCTATTTCCTCCTGGAGCATCTCGTGCAGCGTCACCCCGGTATGCTTGTAGACCCATCGGCCGTTGGCCTCGCCTGGCATAACAATATAATCGAAGCGTTTGGGTCCACTCACTGGTGAGCTCAGCCATATCTGTTTGTTGGGCTTCTGGCGATTGATCACATACATGCCATTGACTGGGCCCAGATTAACGCTGAGCACGCCATCCTGCAATTAGAACACAGGCCAATTAAAACTTACATAATGCAATCCTGGCTAGATTCACACTTACGCCATAGACCACATCCGAACCGGTTATATGTGCAGCATTCTCGGTTAGTTCGTCAAAGTAATCGGATAGTGCATCCAGCGTCTCCGAGCACACACGGTCGTACGTGGTGTCATCCACGACATATTCTGGCTCCGGCAGATTGCTGCAAAATCGGCAAATCTGTAATTCCTGTTTGCTGCTGCAATTGTTGCTGCCCGTTGCGAGCTGCATGGCCGAGATATTAAATGGTGCGCGTCCCGGCGCACATCTGTAACCATGTCTGCGCACCGCGGTCCGTAAACATATACGAATACGATTCATTTTTGCTACCCAAAATATATAAAAATGTTTTGTGCTTCTTTCTGCCTTCGACTAGTGTTGGGAGCCAACTGATTGTGTTAGAGGCAGAGGCGGCGATTGAACGGGCATAGGAGCAGCTGGTGTGCTTATCAAGAATTATGTGCACCTTATTTATTAACGCTGAACGTTGTTACTTCGGCCAAAAAGTATGGTTTTATCAAAAATATAGAAATATTTTAAATTCATTACGTATTTCGTTTGGCCGATGACAAAACTGTGCTGTTCCGTTCAGAACCAGTTCAATTGAACGAGTCATTGAAATGAACTTGTTGCTGAAAAACTGTGTATTGTGCTTAACAAGTCTGCTGTTAAAAATAAATGGTTAATTTGCAAGTTAAGCAGATATAGCGTTCATTAATAACGGAGCATGTTGTTAATTGTTAGTCCAATAATGTTTACAACTGAACAATTAAATGCTGGACGTGTTCATCGAGCTGAACTCGAATTGCCAACTCTAGCCGCCAATGGTATGCCGGCGTGTTAACAGCCCTTAGTGTTGTGAAACGTACCAAATACGGTCCATAAACTATCGAATTGCGATTGTTGTGACGCGTTGAGTGCCATCTCCAATTTTCAGTATAGAGAAAAACCCATCAATGGCGTCCGCGTGAATTTAGCTATATTTTTGTTGTTTTTACTTGATATATATATCCAAATTGCAATCCGCACTAAAAAGTTAAGAATATAACTATACATATATGTTACTAAACATGGCGCTGCCCAGCAACTACAAGCAAATCGCCGTTGGGGCACCAACAGGGCCGGCAACCCCGCTACCCAGCGGCGGTGCTGTTGGCGGCGGCGGCGGTGGCAGCGGCAGCAGCCGGTCGCGTTCATCTGGCGGCGGCGCTGCTGGCGATCGAAATAAGGATCAAACGCCCATATTTACGCACAGCAACTATAGCAATCCGGCGTTTACGCCGCAAAAAGTGACCAAATCCTCAAGCAGCAAGACCCAAAGCGAATCGCGTTTGCCAAAGCCACCGAAGCCGCCAGAGAAGCCCATATTGCCATATATGCGTTACTCGAAGCGTGTGTGGGACAGCGTTAAGGCCCAGCATCCGGAGCTCAAGCTGTGGGAGCTTGGCAAAAAGATAGGCGTCATGTGGAAGCAGCTTAATGAGGACGAAAGAACCGAATATGTTGACGAGTACGAGGCGGAGAAGCTGGAGTATGAGAAGGCATTGAAGGCATACCATCAGACGCCCGCCTATCAGGCCTACATCTCGGCCAAATCGAAAGTCAAACCCGAGGTGACCGATGTGCACGAGACGCCATCCCGTGGCGGCGGCAGCAAGAGCCAGCACGAGCGTCGCATTGATATACAGCCGGCAGAGGATGAGGATGATCTGGATGAGGGATATACGGCCAAGCATATGGCATACGCGCGCTATCTGCGCAATCATCGCCTCATCAACGAAATATTCTCCGAGGCGGTGGTGCCCGATGTGCGATCCGTGGTGACAACTCAGCGCATGCAGGTGCTCAAGCGTCAGGTCAGCTCGCTGACCATGCACCAGACCAAGCTGGAGGCAGAGCTGCAGCAAATGGAGGAGAAGTTCGAGGCAAAAAAGCAGCGCATGCTCGAATCGAGCGATGCCTTCCAGGAGGAGCTCAAGCGGCACTGCAAACCTGCCGTGGATGAGGACACATTCCAGAAAATGGTGCATCGCATGTACGAGGATATCAAGCGCGATCGTCAACGCATCGAGGAGGCGCCCAATCGCAAAGAGGAGCCGCCGCAGCATCAGCCGCAGGCACCACAGCAGCAGCCTGCGGCGCCGGAAGCGAGCATTGCACCCAAACCGGAGCCGGTCAAGCCGCCGGTAGTGGTGGCACCACAACCGCCGCCGCCGCCGCCGCAACCACCCGTACACGAGCTGGCCAGCAAAACGGATCCAGAGCCCATGGACATTGAGCCGCCGCCAAAGCCATCTGTGCCGCCGCCACCACCGCCCGTTAAGCATGACAAACTGGATCTACCTCCGGTGCCACTGAACGAGCACGTAAAGGAATCACTCAAGACGCCAATAACAGCAACTGCTGTGCCCGGCAAGCCAGTCACGCCCACAGCGACGCCCGCGGCAACGCCACCGCCGCCGCCACTAAGCAGTGAGCCGCCAGCTACAACACCCACGCCTCCGCCGCCGCCACCACAACAGCAACAACAACATCAAGCAGCAGCTCCAGCAGCAGCAGCAGCACCACCACCACCACAACCACAGCAACCGCCGCCGCAAACAGCAGCAGCAGCAGCAGCAGGAGGAGGAGCACCACAAATGCATCCGCATGCTCACGTAGGCGGACCGCCGCCACCAGGCTCACATCCAGCACACCTGCCGCCTCACATGGCGCCGCAGCAGCAGCAGCAGCAGCAACAACAGCCGCAGCAGCCGCCGCCCGGTGGCATGCCCGGACTGCCGCCACCATTGCCGCACATGGGCTATGCTAACTATGGTGGCCCTGGGCCGGGCCAGCACTCGCACACGCACTACTATCAGCCACAGTATGGGCCGCATTCGCGGCCGCAGCCCTATTATCCACACCTGCCGCCCTATCAGCCATATACGCCGCTGCATTTTGCCAGCGCCAGGGAGCATGGCGGTGTCAATGCGCCTCCAGGTGCGCCACAACAGCAACAACAACAACAGCAGCAGCCACCACCACCAACACAGCAGCAACAGCAGCAGCAGCAGCAACCACCACAACAAGCGCCGCCACCGCCGCCGCCGGGACATATGCATGAGGGGCCGCCAGTAGCTGGCGCTGTTTATGGCTCAGCTCAGCAACAGCCGCCGGCGCAGCCTCATCCGTTGGCACAGCCGCCAACACAGCCAGCATCTGCAGCAGGAACGGCAGCAGCAGCGGCAGCGGCGGCGGCGCCACCGTCAGTTGGTGCTGCGCCCGCTGCACAGCCGCCGCCCTCGGCAGGCGAAGCAGCCGCTAAATCCGAGTCGGACAAACACGAAACGGACTAGGACCGCAAGGAATTCCACATGTGCAGGAATATCAGGGTATTCCCCATGTGGACACATTCGCTCCAATATCAAGCACTTCGGTGTGCGCGTTGTAAATTGAGCTCCACTGACTGCACAGCGCACCGCAATGAAGAAAGGCAAAAATAAAAAATAAAAATAACATCATTTAGTCTTAAGCACAAAAACTATTAAATAATTATATTTACATTTTTTTTTTTCTCTTATTTTTATTACTTTTTTTTTTTGCATTTACCCAAATCAATTTTGACTATTTTTGTGTGAGCCACAGACACATATTATATTTATAATTAATATACCTTTATAAATATGTGCGAGAATAGATTTTTTAAACAAATTGTATGCGAAATACTATTATATATTTATTGATAGTCATATTTCCTATAATTTTCTTTAGAACAGTGTCTGCGTCAAATGTCACCAGTTATTGGTGAAATACAGAGGTTTTCTAAAAAAAATTCCGTAATTATAAGATTTAAGCTCAAAACAAAAAAAAGGAATAGAAAAACATTTTCAAAAGTTGGCAAACTGATTTCCAATATGGCGTGCGTGTTAAGCGAATTATATCGATAACAAACAAGCAACAACTATCGATAGCGCGATTTCATATGTCGGGCTACGGTTGACATCGCCGACTTTTGTGTTGTTTTCATTTCGCAACGTTTGATTGGCCGAGCAAAGTGCATTTAATGCAATATCTGAGAAACGCAAGGTCGGTGCCCTCTCGTTGGCTACTCGCACGCAATTTATTACTTGTTGCTGCCGCTACTGCCGCTGTCACAAGTCGCACGGCCTTTGCCACAACCACAACCACTTGCACATCGGCTAGTAGCTCGTTCAGCCAAAATCAAAATAACAAAATGAGCGACAAGGCGTGTGATCCAGCTTACATCGCCGGCACCAGCTCCGTTGCGTTTGTAACCACACCCGACAAAGAGTCGGCTAAGAAACTGGCGCATGGCATCATCGAACGCAAATTGGCGGCCTGTGTGAATATAATACCGCAAATCGAGTCCATCTACATGTGGGAGGGTAAGGTAAACGAGGATAACGAGTATCTTATGATGATTAAGACACGGACCGCTCGCATTGATGAGCTGAGCAAGTTTGTACGCGAGAACCATCCATATAGCGTGGCCGAGGTAATTTCACTGCCCATACAGGCTGGAAATCTGCCATATTTGAATTGGATAACCCAAACCGTGCCGGAGAAAGTGGAGAGCAAAGACTAATCTGTTATATAAATGCAAATTAAATAAACGATTTAGATCATTAAGTTGAGCTTTCGGATTTACTTTCGCCGCCATTGGCGCTGGCAAGCGTTGCCAGACTGATTTGCTGCACCTGTGCCACCAATAGATAGGCCCGACTTGGCAGCACGCGCTTTCGTTGCAGCTCAGCTGTGCTCTAAACTAGAGATGGAATGCAATCGATATGTCTATTAGAATAAGGAGACAATACCAAATGAATCAATACGTTTAAAAGCAGTTGCATGGTGCGCTGCAATAGAAATGTAGATATATTTATGACAAAATATTGGAAAAATTTACTGACAGCTATTTAGAAATTCTTTTTATATGTGTAAGTGGGTGTACGGTTCAATTGCGCCAAGAAAAATATCGACAGCCACAGCAAATGAAAATTATCGCTATTTGCATAATTATATCGATAGTTTGCCACCTCTATTGAAAAACGCGCATGAATCGTTTTGCGCAAACAAAAGAAAATCTTATTAATCGCGTAATAATAGCATGTCCGAGGATGATGCAGGCGTGCATCGCTTGGAGGGCACCATGGTCCAGGAGCAGCGCGGCGGCCTGGTGCTCAAGAGGCCCAAGGACAGCAACAGTGCCAGCGGAAGCGGCGGCAGCTTTAAAGTTCCGCAGGGCTCGCTACTGGGCCTGGACAAGCTAGCTGCAAAGCGACGCGCTGAAAAGGCGCGTGCCGAGCGCCTGATCTCCTTTCAGGACAATGAGTACGATGACGGTGGCACGCCATCAAGCACACCTAACGCCACAACGCCTGCCAGCGAATTTGCCTTTAAGAAACCGGACACTAAGAGCTTCGAGAAGCTGAGTCGACAGCTGCGCGAGCACAAAGACGAGACGCCATCGCACACGGGCGGCGTCTCGGAGAAGGCCAGAGAACGGCTGCGCGAGCACATCCAACGTGATCGGGACCGGCACAAAGGTGCAGTCCACAAGACGACGCGCGATGACTCAGACGGTAAACGGGATCGCGAGAGGGATAGAGACAGGGATAGAGAGCGTGAGCGGGACAGACAGCGTCGCGGCGACGAGCGACGCAAGCGAGCACGGGAACAGGATCAGGAACAGTCCCACAGAGACGGCAGACGCAGGGATCGAGAACGTGATCGGGATCGTTCTGTGTCGGTGCGTAGCGTGCACACGCCCAGGGAGCCGGGCACACCAGGCGGCACTGGCGGTGTATTAAATAGCGCCTGGGATGATGACGATGCCGAGGGCGGCGGTGTTCGCAAATCTGATTGGGACTTCCCAACGCCACGTGGCGCTGGCTCCGGCTACGGCACCGGCGATTGGTCCGATAGAGGCAACAGTCGCAGCCGGAGCTATAATGCGGATGACACAGCGCGCGCAACGCCAGCGCATCGCTATAATCAATGGGCACACGATCGCAAGCGCAGCGGTGCCACGCCCTGGACCGGAGATGCCGAGTCCCGTGACCTGTGGGAGGAGGAGCAGCGCCGACTCGATCGCGAATGGTACAACATTGACGAGGGCTACGATGACGAGAACAATCCGTTTGGCGGCACCAATGCCGATTACTATCGCCGGCGCGAGGAACAGCTGGAGCAGAAGCGCAAAAAACGCATCAGCGCCCAGCAGCGACAGAATAACCGGGACAATGAGCTGTGGGAGCGCAATCGGATGCTCACATCGGGCGTTGTCACCTCGATCAATGTCAGCGACGATTTTGATGAGGAGGCGCTCGAGCGTGTCCATTTGCTGGTACATCATATAGTGCCACCATTTTTGGACGGACGCATTGTGTTCACCAAGCAGCCGGAGCCGGTGGTGCCAGTCAAAGATCCCACCTCCGATATGGCATTGCTGGCGCGCAAAGGCAGCGCCCTGGTGCGCAATTATCGGGAGCAAAAGGAGCGCCGCAAGGCGCAAAAGAAACACTGGGAGCTGGGCGGCACCAAGCTGGGCAACATAATGGGCGTGCAGCGGCCGCAGGACGAGGATGATGCCAAATTCGATAAGGAACACGACACAGCCGACTATCGCAAGGATCAAAAGTTTGCGGATCACATGCGCGACATGCAGGACACCAAAAGCGGCGGCAAAAGCGAATTCTCACGCAAGAAAACCATCGGCGAACAGCGTCGCTTCCTGCCAGTCTTCGCCTCGCGCCAGGAGCTACTCAATGTCATACGCGAGAACTCGGTGGTCATCATTGTCGGCGAAACCGGCAGCGGCAAGACAACGCAGCTAACCCAATATTTGCACGAGGATGGCTACAGCAAGCGCGGCATGATTGGCTGCACCCAGCCGCGACGTGTGGCCGCCATGTCTGTGGCGAAGCGCGTCTCCGATGAGATGGACACACAATTGGGTGCGTACTGTGTACAGTGAATACTGCAAATACGGCGTGCCTTTGCTGTTGATGAACCGAATCGGTAGCTGAAAAGCATAATTTAATCCTCTAGAGACTTGATTTCCACTCATTTTCCACTCATTCACGTGGACTTCGCGTTGTCTGTAAATCGTTGAAGAGTAACTAGCAAAACAAACGGGCGTGAAATACTTTTTCAATTTCCCCCCTCAATAATTATTAAAGTCCAAAGCTGATCAACAACAACAATTATCAAAAAGTCGGTTCATCATAGCGTACGCACACTGTACACTGCATAGATCTAGCTAATGCGTATCGAATTTATTGCAGGCGAGGATGTCGGCTATGCCATACGCTTCGAGGACTGCACTTCGGAGCGCACCGTCATCAAGTACATGACCGATGGTATTTTATTGCGTGAGAGCTTGCGCGATCCGGATCTGGACAGCTATGCGGCCATTATTATGGATGAGGCGCACGAGCGATCGCTCTCAACGGATGTGCTCTTCGGATTGCTGCGTGAGGTGAGTTTCGTGTGTGTGGTGTGTGTTTAATAAGTATTTCAACACACTCCGCATTCACCCACCCACAATTGACACTCTTCCGCTTCTATTCTCTGTTTTTGTATCGAATTATTACCTTACATAAAACTTTTATGTTTGTTATCCGATCGTCGAGAAATTTCCTCGAATATTTGTGTACCAAAATTGATTTTGCACAAAATGGGTTTCGCATGGCCAAAAGCTGGTCTGCACCTTGTTTATAGCGTGTCAACAAATGCAACCCTGGGCTGCAGTTAATTTGGTGAATATGGCTTTCGTTTACGTATCGTAGACGCCATTATGAAAACTACCGACAATACACATACATATATACATAGCCTTGTAATATAATGAAATGAGAAACAAGCCCACGTTTATTCCTTTAAATGCTTGCTGCGATATCCTAGAAAGGAGTTTTGTTTGTTTCTTTTCTAAATTTAAATGCTCAAATTAGCTTATTTTTGCATCGATTTAGTTAAAGTCTTCCGTTTGGTAAACATTTAATATTATCCAAATATAAAGCATTTTACAAACATTTCATATTCAAATTTCACATTGCCAAATGTATATCGTATATTATATATAAATATTTTAAAAATCACTTAAGAGACTAAAAACAAAATTACATAAGATGTAGCTAAACGTATAAATATATATATGTGTGGGCGTATGTGTGTGTGTGTGTGTGTGTCTGTGTGTGTGCTGAACTACAAACGTATTGCTTGATTACAACGAATATTACGTGACGTTACGTTGCGTAATGCATGAATGTAGTGTGTGGTGAGTTTTTGCATGCGTCGCGTGCATGTGTGTGCGCGCGCGCGCGCGTGTGTGTGTGTGTGTGGTTGACATTTGCTTACAGGAATTAAGCACGGCGCACAAAAGTATGCTGCAAACAGTGTTGCGAACGCTGTTTGCTGCATTTTTTTTTTTTTTTTTTTTTTAATTCTTTTCGTTTAAAGTTAATTTAAAATGTGTTTAGACTGCGCTTATATCGAAGAAACAAAAAAAAAAAATTATAATGCCTGCATAGTATTTATTCCTATTACAAATTAATCATATATATTATGGGTTCAGAATAATTGCTACGATAATACATAATAAAAATAATGCTAATAATTATGAGAGAAAAAAAAAAAAAGAAAAAAAAAACAACAACCAATTGTTAATAAGTCTTTTCGAATTTCACAGTGTGTCTCTCTCTCTGTCAAATATACACAAATTTAAATACAATTTTTTTTTTTTTTTTTTTTTTTTTGTATTGTAGCTCAAGTTGCAACAGCAAATGTATTAGACAATAGTTGCTAGTGTGTGTGTGTGTGTACGTATGTGTGTGTGTGTGTGTGTGTGTGTGTGTGTGTGTGTGTGTGTGTGTGTGTGCACGCTGTTGTAGGCCAGTTATTTGATATATTATTTTAATACTGCCAATTAAAAACAAGTAACAAATTAAGAGCCTGCTCTCTCTCTCTCTTTCTTTCTCTCTCTCTCTCTCTGTCTGTCTCTCTCGCGCTCGCCTCTTCTATATTGTTCACATGTACACATACATATACACATGTATATTTGTGTGTGTATTGAACATATGTAAATAAATATTTCTGCATGATCAATCTTATCACAATTTGCTTTGGATTTTGTTTGTTTGTCTTTACTTTCCCTTAGCTAAAAGCAATGTGGTATGCATGTGTGTGTGCGTGTGTGTGTGTGTGTGTGTGCGATAGCGTATACATAATGCACTAGAAAAATGGTGTGTATTTGTGTTAGTTACTTTGAGTGGGAGTGGCATTTTTGCCTATTATTGAGCACCAGCAACATGCCCGCATTCATGCCAACGCTGCCCCATTTCACGCACTCGGACATCTGCAAGATATAGGGATTACTTGTAAGAATTTGGATTCTGTTAATTGGTTAACGATTTTATAATAATTGAATAACGCCTGCTTTTGCATATTGCTTGCGATCAATTTTTGTTGCTCTGCACAACAACCCAGACACAATTAGCAGCTGCTCCAAAATGCAATTAATGACGGTACAAAAAAAAAAAAAAGAAACAAAAACAAAAACAACGAAAAAAAAAAAAAACAAAAAATCAATTGTTAGCTCGTTAACATAATTAATTGGCAGAGATGTTGGCTTTTGTTT